CAAGTTATTGCCATTCCTGCTCAGTCAACATGGCTATAACTGTTCATTAAAAAATGCAAGTAGAAAAATAGGGACCACCTTTGGTGGGAATGTAACAGCGTTTTGTGCGCCTTAGGCGTTTAGTCATGCCGGCCAGATGACCACAGAGACGTCTTCGGACAGTGCTGGCTCTTCGACTTTGAAACGGAGATGAGCACTGCCCCCTAGAGTCGGGAATAACTAGCACATATATGCGAGGGGAACCTTTACTTTTAATGAACAGTTATAGCCATGTTGACTGAGCAGGAATGGCAATAACTTGATTGATTCCACGCATGTGGAAGATTTTAAATTATTCAACATTTTTCATTAGGTAAGATGTCAGAAAAGGAAAAAAGGAGAGCACAAGAGAGAAATAAGAAGCTCCCCAGAGCCAAATGTTTAAATCATGAAACCTTCAGCTCAGCATCATCCTGAAGACGGAATATCTAGTTAGTGCTGTAGGTTGTTAATTTCGGGTCATACCTAACCTCCAGGAGGAGAGAATATTGAAAACACAAAGCCAATAGCAATTCTGCCACATCAGGTTTGCAACACTTCAGATGACCACTAGGTGGGTCAGTTTTACAGTTCTGATGTAGTAAGCCTAATAATTAGTACGTACAGATATATAAAATGATTTTCCTCATCAAGTAGAAGGCATCTCATTTCTTTGCCATTTTGATTGATGAAGAGTTCTAGAAAACCTGAAAGCCTACATAGTCTTCTATGACATAAAAGAAATCCCAATAAAGTTATTACCTTCTGATTTTCTAATTTTAGATTAAAGTCACGGGAGATAGTTGGTCTATTAGGTGAAGTGCTTATAGAAGTAATTGTACAACATACAGGGCTGGTAAATTTAATCTACTTGATTCAATACTAAAATTCCCACAGCATTTTTGATTCTTGTCCTGGGTATGAAATTTTAGAACCCTAAAGAGGAACAGACTGGGGACAGCTAATACAATCAGTGAGTGGGTTCAATTTTCTCCTCAACTGTCAAACTGTTCGTTTATCTTCATCTTAAGGCAATGTATAAAATCACTTATTGTACCTTGCAAGCCATGGTTTATGGCTTAACTATAAATCTGCCCTTTGTGGCTTATTCAGCAAATCCCGGGTGGAAATTATGACTGAATGTGATAAACCTAGCAGTATCTGAAACAAAAACACCCCAAAATCCAATCAATTGTGACTTTTACTCTGCCTATGAATAGCAAGATGCGGGAGCAGGATGATTAAATGATTGGTATTTTGTAATCAAAGGGATCAGTTTTCCAGTGCTTTATCAGATATTGAAATAATAATATTGTTTGATTTCAATTGAATCAAGTTGACAAACTGAATCTGAAACAGATCCTCAATTAATGGAGTCCAAAGTTCCTATCCTGTTTGACTTCTGCTATATTAAGCAGTAGTGTCGGATAGAGNAACCCACCCCTGGAGCAGGGGAATGGAGTACTCTTCTTGTGAAATACTGCTCGGTTGTGTTATTGTCCGATGTACAGTGGGGATTCCAGACAGAGGAGCTGTATTCGAGGATTGGTCTGGCAAAGGTTTTTGTATGCCCTAGTTTACAGTACAAATGTTACCAGAGAAGGATCTTCGCAAGATTAGGTTTGACAACTCTTAATGCCTTTTTATTGGTTCTGTTTTTCCTGTTGATATCTCAACACCAACTCTTCTCTCTAAGCGTGAACAATTTCTGAACACTCTAGAAAAGTAGAGATCCATGAGGTGGGATTTTATTTCTTTTTGGAATATTCCAGGCTGCCTGTGGCTTCAGCCTCGACTGGAGTTCTTACCGGGGTGAACCTAACGGAGCTGTTCCCTCTTTTATCTCCAGAGCTCTTCCAAGCCCTTGAACGAGGCGGTTCTTAGCCGCTGCATCGCCCTCATGGGTGATCTCTGCTCAGACGTGGTCATCCGGATGCAGATGACTGAGAACCAGGAATGCTGGCAAGCTTGCTCGAGCTTCGCGGTAAGTTTGGCTCTTTGCTGCTGCCAGTTTATCGTCCGTTCGGCTGCTCCTTCCTTTCACGCCCCCCCTCCCCCCCCCGTCTCCTTTCTGCTCCATTAGCCCCGTTGGAAATGGGAAGCTCAGCTGACAGATCAGGCCTCCTGAGTCATAACTCCTTCCTTTCTGCCACGAAGCAGAAGAGGCCACCTGGCCCTTCTCTAACCACGTCAATGCTCTCGGTGGTGTTTTTGCTTTGCTGTTACGAACCGAAGCCCCCCCCCTTTGATCTCAGCCAGGCTGATGGGCCAACAAGTTAATCCATTCCTCAGAAATCCCCTGGCCGTCGGTCTCCAGCGTTTCTGACGGTCAGGTCTGCCAACTTCGCCTTGGCGTCTTGCTATTAAAGGCTAAGAGAGAGGAGGGGGGCGTGGGGTGGGGAGAAACGGGCAGTCAACATGCATGGAAACTTGATGGGAGAGGGAAATGATAGCTTGACGAAGAGCAGGAGAGCTCGGAACCGGTTTGTGCCAGCACCCGAGGCCGCAGACCAGAGGTGGGCTCCTACCGGTTCGGACTGGGTGGCTGAGTAGGTAGCAACTCAGCCGTCCACGCCCCTGAACCAGTTCTATCAGCAGTGATATAGGCGCCTCCATCTTGTTTTTTTGCTTCTGTGCATGTGCAGAAGCATTTTTTTTTTGCTTCTGTGCATACACATGTAGCGCGCATCAAGTGCACACGCGTGCAAAGCCCGTCCCTGAGCGGGCCAGCAGTAGGCGAAGCCGGAACCCGCCCCTGCCGTGTACCCTGAGGTCTTTTGAGCACAGGGGATTTAATTCCCGCCTGACTCTACTGCAAGCAACAACTTTTAGTACAACCAACATTACATCAACCGAATGGAGTCGAGGGTCTTTCCTTCCTGTGAGGCCGCGCTGGGGCTGGCCTGACACTAAGAAAAAGAAGCCCAAATCCAGGGCTGATTTCGTA